AGTGAGGGAGGACATGCAGATAGTTGGAGTTAGAGTAGAAGATACAGAGAACAGGGAGAGATGGAAATCAATGATTTGCTGTGGCAACCCCTGAAAAGGGGACAAAGAAGCTGAAAGAAAAATAAGATATAGTCTAAAGTATACTGTATATAGTCTATAGTCTAAAAGACTCAGATACGATAACTGTAACAGTTAGCACACACTGCTAGTCGTATTCTAATAGTGTTGTACATTTGTGACTGCAGGACTACTAATCTATAACCTTTTCCGCCACAATTCCTATTACACACAAACAATTTTTTCTTCAAATTGACCATGACATGTTGCAGGGCACTTGTCAAGCTATTTTGAGCATGTGACGAGATACAACCGCTTTCTGAAACTCAGACGTAGCAAACGTTAAATATATATTTGTTCTCTTTGGGGTACCAACTGTATTTTGTTGATGCTACAACTGCAAGCAGCGTCAACGCTTTTGCTCCTCAGTACTGTTAGAGTCAACTCTATTAATACAGAGCTGGATGAAAGGATAATATTTCTAAAATTAAAATAGTTCTGAAGGGTCACAGGGTGAGTTAAAACACGACTGGAAAACTGATTTTCACTTTGTGTTTGTCGTACAGCTCCTCAGTCTGTGCCAGTAATTCCCTCTCCGTCTCTCCGGGAGTGTGCGGCGCAGCCACCGCTGTTATTGGCATTGGCTGTACTCCCACTGCCAATTGAAATCTAATTGTGGCGCCGGTCTCTGAATCAATATCTTGTTCTCGACCACTGTGGTGCTTTCCTCCCCCTTCCTGAGTCCACTCAGTGATTCACGGGCGTAGCGAGGGTGCACATGTGACTGAGGCAAGACAAAAGAAGATAAAACGTCTTAAGCATGTGGAAGTTAGGTTTTTTAGTTTGTTTGCTTGTTTTTTAAATATCCTGTCGAAGCTTTTGACCCCAGGCTTTGTGTGTCCTCACCGAAGCCACACTGGAGTTGTGGAGATAAAAACTTTGATTGACTGCACTGTCGGCGAGATACGACAAACACAGCTAAGCTCTTGTTCAAGTGCATTTGAAATCCATCTCTGGTCTGGGGGGTGGGGGTGACTATGCATTTGATTGCAGCAATAAAGAGATTAAGTGTGACAGAGAGTGTAAAAGAAAGAGGGATTGAAGAATTTAGCATCGACACATGCCTGTCACAAATCTGTCTGGTGTGTGGGGTGGGGAGGATATCATACACATGGGTTTATTAATTTGTGGAGATGAGAAGGGGGTAACTAGGGTAAAAAAAAAGAAGCTGAAACGCAGCCACGTATATTTGTTCAGCTTTGGTTTCAACAGTTTACATGACCGAGCACGGTAACCATGACGACCTGATTCGCGAAGTTTTTAATGGTAATAATGCAGAAAAAAAATAGTGAGTCTCTAAAAATACACCGCGGTGTGAATACTGTGAAACCAGTACAGTAGGAAAAGAAGAAGTAAAACATGATTCATGTAAATTTTTCAAATTAAATTATTAGATAAAAGCTCTGATCATTCTTGGACAAGTACTTTGAAATAACTAATAATCTTGATTGGAGTTGTCAAACTGAAACAGTTTTATATGTGGGCCAATCATTGCCTCTTGCCGTGGCTTAGATCAGTGGTTCTTAACCTTGTTGGAGGTACTGAACCCCACCAGTTTTATATGCGCATTCATCAAACCCTTCTTTATTTTTAGTTTTGCTGGGGCTAGACTAGAATTGCTCAACTTGGCATTGCAAATCATGAAGCACAGATATGCCAAGCAATGTAGCGTGATCACCTGCAGCCAGTGATGGCCAAGCGGGGCGTGTCATCCCGAATCATATGAGTTGGGTGTGTGTCTTGTCCTCTGCCGAACCCCTGAGACTTACTCATCGAGGTTAAGGACCACTGGTTTAGATTCTTAAGTTATTAGACCCCCCCCCCCATTTTCCTGTTTTTTCTTTTATGGAAAATAATAATAATTATTATTTAGTTACTCTGTACAGCGTTGTCAGATTTAATTATGTCTGTGTAGGTTATCAGTCATCCAGGTCATCTTATCCAAAAATAGTTACATCAAGGGCAACTGGACGGATAAGGTTTCTTACGATTACGAATACGATTCATCTCTTTTCCAAGAGCAGAGAACAGAAGAAGCCTCTTGGATAAGAGGTGAAACGTCTTCAAGAAACCTACTCCATCATGTTGCCCTCAATCAAAATCAACAAAGTAGCAACTTTTTTTGTTTTGGGCCTTAAAAAACAATTAAAAAAAAACTGAAAGTTAAATGGTTTATGTGAGGGTTTAAAATGTTCTAAAAATAAGTATCAGTATCAGTGTCAGTTTAAGGTGGGTCATATCATGTATAAGCTACACGTCTGACATCGTGTTTCCACTACGTTCAAAAGTAAATAAACATGACCAAAGTTATAGCCCTTTGCTACAATGGGAAAGAGCTGAATCTCAACCATATGTTAGAGACGTCTCTGCAGCAACAGTCAGACACTGATAACCTCAGCTGCCCTCGGCTGTTACCATGTACAGACACACAGCTGAAACTGGTAATATTTTCGTTTATTGCAAAAGGAGAAAAAAAACCACTTGATGCCTTGGTTCGGCTCTGATCCTCAAGATGAAAAAAGAGTTTTTGCACCTGGTGCGAGCTCACACATCTGACAGATAACTGTTTGTCACTTCCAGGGACCTTGGCGTGGGAAATGGTACATCGCCCCAGCCGGTGTCACATAACGACAGACTGATGGAAAACATGCCACGGGTGGCCAACAACACTGACAATGGCAAGGTAAAGATATACTGAACACAGAAGAGAAACTTCCGCCTTAGAAAGATGGTAATAATAATGAATCTGTGCAGAACGTGAAATTCTCTCAGCCTCTGGTCCGGGTGTTTGCTGTAAATGAGGCTAGTGTAGCTGTGCTCTGCATCCACGGCTCCTTTTACTCCCTTTGTCACTTCAGTGGAAGTTTGTATTCACTGGCATATTTCTAATATCGCTTTACTCTTATTACTAAAGCCTGGGCTTAAGATATCATCACCTCCTTCCGGTGGCAAGCTGCTACTAGATTAAATCCGGTTTATGGCTCGGCGGCAGCGGGGTCTGGTCTCAGGTCTGTGGCAGGGAAAGCTTTGTAATCTGCACATAGGACGCCTTTGTGACGTCCAACGCTAATGGGACTGAATGGGGGGAAGGGTTAGTGTGTGCAGCTGCTGGTGGAACTGATGTGGGTTGGATTTAAGGAGAGGATGGCTCAGGAGATTAGTTCCTGCTAATTTATTATGGCTCCTGTAGACGACACTCGGGGGCATTCGATTGTTTTGTTGCCTCCACTGCACACACCCCCTCCATTGGGGTAGTAATAAAAGGATGCAAAAATAAATCAAACTTCAATGAAGAAAAGAAATGCAGAAGTGCATTTTCTAATCCTTTTTTCTGTATTTTAGCTATTTTAACTTGCAATACTGCCACCCACTGGATATAACTTTACATGGAAAAAATATGATATCTTAAAAAAGGGCAAAGTAAATAAAAACAAAAGACAAAAAGTCGACCCACGATAGAAAATCCCACCCATGTAGGTAAAGAATGTTTATAATTTTTGCGGAAATGGAAAAACTTTGAGTTTTTTTCCTGGAGTACTGTATTGATTACACCCCACTGTGTAATTATCTTCCATCTAATTAGTTGAAATCCGTAATTTTTATCCCCAAGGCTGCACTCGTCCAGTACATCCACAGTTTAAGTCATGACAGTGAGACACCTATATATACATTTTCAGTATATCGTGACATTGACATCAGTGCATTAGTGTGGGTTAAGTACAGGCAATGTAGGCTGACATTCACCGGTTGTTCAGATCACTGCATGACGCTTGTAGCGTTTATAGGAAAAAACTTTCCTAAATGTAAATGCCAGAGCCACGGCTTCCAGTCAGGCACAAATCGTCTGCGTCTGACTTCTCGTGTCTATTTGACTCAGAGTCACTTCACGGTACACTGATCTTCATCTTCTGTCTTGAACCTCCGTCATAACAACGTGTCATATCTGGGCTAGGCACAACGACTGTTGGAGCATGAGGAAGCCGCAGGAAGTGTGCTTTTAAGTTTCTGTGACGGTGTGTTCGGGGTCCTATTGGATTCAAAGGCCCTCATCTCTCACTGCTGTTTTGGAGGACACACAATCACCTCCCTGGGATGGAACATGATTGTTACACAGTGGTTCAGAATCAGCACCAGTGTACCAGCAACAATGTGGTGCCGATGACTTTAAAAGAAAAAAAAAGCTTTCAAGGGCTTGGATTGATTAACCCTCGATCTGGAGCAACCACTCGGTGCCTTTGTGTGGGAACTCATACGGTTGACTGTGGGGATAAATTGCAGTCATTCATCAGTGGATATTGGTTGAACCCAACCAGCCCAGAGTTAGCATCCTCCCCAACCTGCTGCTGCTAATTACCTTTACCCTGGGCTGGAAATAGAGAGAAGAGAAAAAACAGAAGAGAAACAATAAAAAAAATCACTTTTGTTTTGTAACTTCATCAGGGGGCACCAGAGCTGTAGCCGGCATAGTATTTGGCAGATTTTTGAACAACCCAACCTGAAGCCCTCTAGTGGCAAGTGTGTTCTTAACACTACACCACTGTAGCTCAATGAGAGAACGAGTCAATTACAAAAACAATTTAAAAAAATCATTTTTGTGGCAGAACTTGTGTCCAGATGCTCTTGGATTTGATTTCCAAATGTACATTTTTTTTTACTTTTGGAAACATGATCAAATGACACCACTCAGCTCAATGTTTGACAAAAAATATGATGGTAAAAATCTGTTAAATATTGTTCAGACACCTCTTTTGACAGCTTGAATTAGAACATTTATCTTACAATTCTCTGATTTGAGATACATTTTCATTGATGAAATAAGTGTATGAAATTAGTTAAATTATCATTTTTTATTTTTTAGCCACCGCAGCAGGACAGCATCTCCCCCACGAAGACACTACAGAATGGCAGTCCTTCCAAATGTCCACGGTTCGTGAAGATAAAGAACTGGGAGACTGGCATCATGTTCAATGACACACTCCATCACAGCTCCATAAAGGTAGGCTCATTTAAACTCCGATATTAAACTAAACTTTGTGCTTCTGTATCGCTGTTATCAAAATGTACTGCAAGTGGTTTTGTAAAAAAAAAAAAAAGCCGTTTATTGATATGGTTTTCAAATCTGCACAACTTATCACTCACAAAGAAACAGCAGTAAAACACAGACAATTATGTCACAGGGCTTGTTAAAGTAACTTTTTGAGTCAATAGCCCAAAGGGTAGAAAAGTAAGCTTCCTGCTAACTGCTTATTAGCGCATTGCTAACATAGAAATGACAGTCCGTTAGATTATACATGCTGACCAAACCAAAATATAGACAGTGCAGCTTGTTGGCAAAGTTCACATGTCACATGTCGCTGTTTGAGGCCCACTGGTCGGAAAAATAATTGGCCACTTCACTCGATCATTAGGTTTTAGAGAAGACAAAAAAATTGTAACATACTGACACCAGGTGATCAGCAAAAGGTAATGCAGTTGTAACGCATTGGCCAGAGGATGTTGGAGACAAAGGAGACAAGCTGAAACCCTCGGTGTCAGTCTTCACATGTTAGGGCAGCTTTCAGGCTCTGAATCAGCTAACACAAGATGACAGATACTGTAACTGTCCCTTCAAAAGTACTTTGTGAGTACTGCATATCGCAGGCAGTGAGGAACAATAAATGCAGTCGACTGAACAAACATTTAGCCTCCAGTCTCACCGACACATCATCTTCAAGTCACGTAGATCAAAAAATAATAGCTCAGCATGGAGCCCTTTTTCCTCTCTCTCTCTGTAGTGTTCATCTGGTGGAGTGTGTTCTGCATGAACTATTTATAGTTATGCACAAGCAAACACTTTTAAAAAGAGATGTTAGAAAAAACCTGGGAAATGGGAGAACTGACGAGTAAGAACAAGAAACAGTTCTGTAAGTGAATAGTTCCTACTGTCACAAAGTAAAAAAAAGTTTCTTCTACTTAGAAAAACAAGGAATTTAACCCTCTTTAATCCTGCAAGCCTGAAAAAAAAATTAAAATACACACACTCCACAGAAAAGTCCATGAGCATTTAAGACAAAGGTCGGATGTGCAGTCAGAGGGACAGATGGGTACAATTTGAGGTCAGAATTCCACTAAGCATAAGATCGCAACTTATTTGGAACAGTGATGAACAGGGTGACAGTTGAGGTCAATCAGGGGAAACTTGAGAATCCAATCATTATGGCATGATTCTCATTGATCCAGGTCATGTTATCCATAGAGTTTAGTTATAAGCAACTGGACCTTTTCTTTGAGCTTGAAAGACGTTCCTCAACTGAGGAACTTCATTAGTTTCTGGTTGATGTAAGAGGGAAACCTAGTAGTTATATTTCTCTAGACAATTGTTTCCCAAAGACTGGGTTGCGCCCTTCAGGTGGGTCGCAAGAGATTTTTTTTTTTTTTTTGGGTCGTCTTGCATCATGTTTCCCAGGAGTTTACGAATAATGTCTATTGACTTGGGTCATGAAGGTTTGTGACTTTTAAAATACGGGTCCCCAGAAAAGGAAAAAAAAGAAAAAGAAAAGGAGTCACAGGTCTCAAGTTGAGGAACGAAACATCTTGCAAGCGCAAAGAAAAAGCTTACAACTAACAGTTGGATTTTTTTTTTTTTTTTGCCTTATCTTCCTTACAATTTTCTGGCGGCCCCCACTTTGAAAATCACCGAGTTAGCATATAGTTTAAGGTGTTTAACTCCACTTTTAACAATGACTTGACCCCCCAAAACACCGCAGCTACGTATCAACAGGAAGTCAGAAGTCACTAATCACAGTAGCGTCACATTGAACAGACTGTTTTGTGGGTCCTAATAAATGGCTCACAACGGCATCTTCAGATTTATTATATATCACAGACGTGACTCTTTACGAGGATGCTGTGTCTCTCCAAAGGGACAGCTGGATGGCATGAATGCCCAGAGCAGTATGATGAGCGGATGTGCCGGAGAAAGAGTGATTTAATTGTTTTATTTTTAACACGTGCTGCTTTTCCCCATCCACTTCCCGTACTTCCACTGCGTCACTCCATAATCTTCATCTTCTAATTTTCTCCCTCTTTTTTATTGAAATTATATCATTTTTTTTGTTTCTTCTTCTGAGTATTTTGTGGCTCAACTTTCCGTCTTCCTTTTGTTTTGACTGGATGATGTTGTGTTAGCCAAGCTAGTTAGCTGTTTTTGTCATCGCCTGTTTCTCTTGGTTGGATTTGTTGGAAGGGAACATGTAGATTTATAATGGTCGGGCCGCCAGCTCATGGTGTGTGTATGAACAGTACAAGTGGGCGGATCAGTTCAACGTGCCAATTTTAGCAACATCAGGGTTGTGTAACGGCGTCGACTACACGGCATTGCCATCATTTCTGTCATCTAATTTCACTCACTCCTTAATTTATGCAAAAGTAAGTGAAAGCATTTACCAGAGGCCGGAGTGAGAGCTGACTTCAACTCCCGTCATATTTAACTAACCACACAAGGCTGCTCCCAGCTATGAGCAATTTCTCCAGCATCTGTTTGTCGCTCTGTGTTTCCTCTCTGAAGACCCTTCCTTCCACATACTTCACTGACTGAATTAACATTCAGAGCAGCCATGTGTGAATGATGTAATAAAATAAATCATCAAACTAATGTGATGTTTTGTATGCATTCGGCATTTGAAGCTCATTTTGCTAAGAAATTTATTGTGGCATGCATTATGGCCTAATCACCCTGAATACTGACATGCAGGGTTAGCCGCGTCAAGTTAGCTCGTACATTGTCATTGGAACAGTTTTATCCACAGGATGCCTTTCCTGATGTCGGCTCAGGTTAGGAGTTGGAAAGTTTACTCCATAAACCTTTCACCTGGCTTCTACACCTACAACGTTTCTACAACGTTTCAACTGTCTTTTTTAAAAATAGACTGGGCTAACGAGCGTACCACTAGCAGTACTAAGTACTAGGTTTAAGTTTGGGTTTGGGCTTATCTTTTTGTAATTGTTTTACCAGTTTTACACATTAATACTTAATGCCTACATTGCAAAAGTCATTAAAAAGACACCTCTGTTAGTCAATGGGTGAAAAAAAAGCGTGTGTCAGCTCTGATTGGCTTACGCTGATATTTTACCGTTGACTGAACCAACAGTCATAGTCACGCAAAGTCAACGTGGAAGGAGCAATTGCACAAGAACACACCGAGCCGCCTGTCATTTGTTACAGGTGCTCAGAAGGACGAAAATTAGTTGCTAAGTGATCAGAGGATCTTGGTGCTGTCCGTCTTGGAGGATGGAACTGTCAAAAAGTGATTTGAGATACGAGCATCTCACTGAGATCTGATTGAACAACTGACAGCTGTGTTGTCTAAATTAGGAAAAGCTACAAAACTGTGTGGAAAGTTAGCGCTGGACGTGTGGATCTGTGTAGTTCCTCCTCTGTCAATGTCGACTTGACTTCGAGCACAAAACACGAAACAAAACACACCTTAAATCTCACTCCTCATCCGTCATCCTGCATCTTTCAGATGCCAGTCTGCCCAGAAAATGCGTGCCTGGGATCTGTGATGATGCCAAACCATCTTGTACGCAAACCAGATGACGTCAGATCCAAAGAGGAGCGGCTCGCGCTGGCCACAGACTTCATAGACCAGTACTACTCCTCCATCAAGAGGTGAGCCCACCCTGCTGTTTGAAGACCGGAATGTTGAGTAACCATAAACTGTATCCTTAATTTTAACAGACATGGCTCAAAGGCTCACGTGGACAGACTGGAGGAGATGACCAAGGACATCGATACTATCGGAACGTACCAGCTGAAGGACACTGAATTGATTTATGGAGCCAAACATGGCTGGAGAAATGCTGCCCGATGTGTAGGAAGGATCCAGTGGTCCAAGCTTCAGGTAAGAGAAGGCTAACTCTAAAGCTAACACCGGTGCGAGTAGGTTAGTCCCAGAAGACTTTGTGGTCTGACTATCAAATTCACAGGAAATAGACAGGAAAACGTAACAATGGTTTGACATGACAAAAAAAGACTTTAACCCTTGTAAAGTCCCCTTGTAAAGACCCCCAGGTCACCTAGACCCAATATGTCTTTGTGTTTGTGTGTGTGCATGCGTGCGTGAGTATGCGTGCGTGTGCATGTTCCTGTACTGCATGACTTGTGCCAACTTTTCCTCATATTCATTTATTCTCATATTCTGGGACAAGATGAAAATCATTGCAAGGACAAACGGTGTGTACAAAAATTCGAAGGACCACACAAGGGTTAAAGATTCGAACTACTCACGTCTTCAAGTCTTTCTTCTTTGATATTAATGTCAGGACCAGGCTAAAAGCTATCCATGCTGTTACAAATCCACAAAAGGATAATGCAACGCAGCGGGAAAACTTCACGTACATCATTTTTTGCACCATTAACAATGACACGTAACGATGAAAGCATGAACGCTGCGAATTACACCACACTGTGACACATCATCAGTCAGTCAGTCAGCTCAAATCAATCTATTTATATTAAGGGGAGGTAACTCAAAGTGTTCCATCGATCATTTATCAGAACCGTCAGCAGTAAGAAATGACTGGGATGTGAAAAATTTCAAATGTGTTATTTGGTATTTTCAAAAGATCTTACTTTTCATGTAGATCTTACAAATTCTTAGTTCTCATTTCTTCTTGCTACAGGTCCCTTTATTTTAATGTCTGTTATCAACTCATATATATAGTGCAGGGGTCACCAACCTTTTTGAAACTGAGAGCTACTTCAAAAGCACTTAGTAATATGAAGAGCTACTAATAATTAGTTGTGGGACATACGATGGTTGACACTAGTAAATACAATTTTTGTAAGAGGTAAGAGTACCTCTTGTTGACTAGTTTTATTTTCAGAACATACAACACGGGCACCTTTGGTAGTCGACAAGAGCTACCAGGTGCTCCCGAGCATCACGTTGGTGACCCCTGGTAGAGAGGTTATCACACCTGCCTTACACATTGGCCTTACACACATACTTAATGGCGCCCCCTGAGGCAGGTTTTGTGAATTGCAAAGTCTCGAACTGAATTTCCCTATTGTAGGACCAATAAGGGAATTCAAATTTTTTTCTAATCATTGTTTTTTAATTATTGTGAAATAATTCCTGTAGTTTTTCAGGGAAATTCTTCACCTTGGAAGACACATTTCTTTACGGTATCTATGAGAAAAAAAAAATCTGCATTTGAAAGACTAAAGAGTGTGTGTTTTTTAAATTGTTCCTCAGGTGTTTGATGCTAGAGACTGCACAACAGCTCATGGAATGTACAACTACATCTGTAACCATATCAAATATGCAACCAACAAAGGCAACCTGAGGTAAAAAAAAAACAAAAACAAACAAGCAATCACTTTTTTACTCTGTACTTAGCTTCTGCTTTCTGTTTTCTTTTCGTCCCTTTTGTACGAGTCCTTTTGTCTTCTCCGTTCTATCCCTCTCGTTCCTCTTCCCATCTGTCCCCTTCATGAATCTCATCGGCCCTCTCCATCCCTGACTACTCAGACTTGACCCACTCTCCCATCTGTCAACGCACGCTCTGTCTCTTAACACTGTATCTGACACTGTCTGCTGCCCGTCTGTCAGTGTTACGGCACCAATAACTGCCCTGTTGGCACCGTGGCAGACCTTGCTAACAAGCAGTCATTTGTCAGACCTACACAGCTCTCACTTACTTTTTGCCAAGTCCTAATCACATGTGACATCTCATATTTAGATGATAAGATGATGACGGAGAGATGATGGATGGCTCCCCACTCCCCACTACACTATGAGCCGGCCTTGGAAGGGACAGCTCATGCACAGATGTTATTAAGAGCTAACAGGACGATGAATATGGATACACAGATGAACACAGACAACAGTTTTTGGATTGTTTTTGTCAGTGTCATGGATTTCTATATATGTAAACAAAGCCAGAAGATTGTAGATTTATTTTCGGTAGGAGGGCTGAAAGATTTTATGAAAAAAAAAATCCAGATGTCAATTGTCTATAAAGATTCTCAGTCATCCAGGTCATGGTCAAGGTTGAAGAGTTCTGTTAGGCAACTGGACATGAAATTTTCTCAAAGAAGACGTTTCTCATCCAAGAGGCTTCTTCAGTTCTAACTGGTGGTGGTTTAGGGTACAGCAAATATACGTATATTCTGGGTGTGACAAAGAATAAGGCTACCTCAGCTCCCCCCTGTTGGGTGGGCCGTTGGGGTCAACTGGGGAAGTGTAAACAGTCGAGACAGACGTCTTTGAGAAAATTTCACGTCCAGTTGCCTAAAAGTTTGCCTTACACATCTGCTTTACAGTCCACTTCATTGCTCAAATACGCAGATGATGCACATTTTATCATTTGTGGGTGAAGGTTTGCCTTTAAACCTGGAACTTAAATTATCAAGTGATTGTGTTTGCGGAGGCTTCAACTTCAGGTCTGAGGCCCGGCTTGTGTCGGACCAGCCTCACAGACCGCAGGGCAGTCAGTAGGTCTATGACTGACACAAATGTTAAATTGATTGTGAGGGACCGTTGACTGATTAATATTGTTGACAACAACCACTTCACGGATGTTTTTAAAGCAACTCATGACCCTGGCATCAAGTGAACCTCAAGATGCATAGTAAAGGCTAAAATCCATCATTTCCACAAAGCATTTTAAGTTATACTTTGCAATTCTATCATTTTGCAGATATACATCTACCTTTTGTTATTTGTTTCTTGTTTTTTTTAATTAGGATTCTTGCCTGCCATGTGCTAGGTTATGGGTTCCTATTCTACCTGAGAGTTGTCTCAGGAAGGACATCTGGTGTACATCTTTGCCAAATTACTACGCTGACTACTGCTGTGGCAACCGCTGATGAAGGGAAAAGCTGAAAGAGATTCAGTAGTTAGGTTTCAGTTGTCTCCCAAACTCTTTAGTATATTACAAGAAATTGTTTAATTTTCAAAAAGTACACATTTGGGTGGCTTACAGTACTGTCATTGCCCAATATATCGGTGACTCATGATCTTTGTTAGTACTTCAAAGTCAAGTACAATTCACACAGTAGTTATGCCACATATACAGTATGTAGGTTTTTGTCAAATCAGAATTAAATCCATAGTTTTATTTTTGTTTTTTTCGAATTTGCTGAAGATAAATTAAAAAAATAAACGTTGACAAAAATGATTAGCTTAATAATAGTGGGTTCTATCATTATTATTGAGTTACAGTGACTTAGCTCGTATTTCATTGGCCTATTTTTAAACTTGACCTTCAATAAGAATTTCACTCCTATGGATTTTCCTATTTAAAATCAGGCTTTCGTGCGGCCTCTGTCAACATTTATCTTACTAGTACCTAGAAAATCATGGACAGTTTCAAATATACTATACTGTACTGAAAATATAAAATTACTACAGCTGTTACAGCTGTTGACTGTGAGCGCGGCTGCATCCGATCCTTACCAGCTGCTCTAACCTCACAGTGACTCTACAACCAGCTTAGCGGAATTGTAAATGGACGTGACACTACAACACCCATGAGATGCGAATTTGGCTAAAAGTAGCTTAGCTGCGGCACCCACTGCCGTATGCGTCGTTTGACATAGTCTTGATAAATCCCTTTAGGCAGATGACGTGCATAATTCCAGCCACCTGTAAGCATCCTTGTTGATTATCATACTTACATATTCATATAGATCAGGTACTGCTGTGTGTTGTTGCACAGTTTCTTTGAAGGATGCACAGAGACTAATGTGCTTGGATTTCACCGCAGAATGAAAGTGACTTGAACAGATTTCGACATATAAAAATTGTAAATAGGTGCAATAGCTATTGTAATTTTTTTATTTTTTATTTTTATTTTGCAGATCAGCCATTACAATATTTCCACAGAGGACAGATGGCAAACATGACTTTCGAGTTTGGAACTCTCAGCTGATCCGATATGCGGGCTACAAACAGCCCGATGGCGGAATTCTGGGCGACCCTGCCAACGTTGAATTTACAGAGGTACAGAGAGTATCTATAGGTGTAAAACCAGCACCATATTTATGTAGAGAATAGGTGCATGTGGCTGAATTGTGGCTTTCAATCTCTGCAGATCTGCCTACAGCTGGGATGGAAACCCCCAAAGACACGTTTTGATGTCCTGCCCCTACTGCTGCAAGCCAACGGGAATGACCCTGAACTGTTTGAAATACCCGAAGACCTCATCCTGGAGGTGCCCATCACACACCCAAAGTAAGTGCTATCTTTTTTCACTGTAATCCAGTATACACGAGAGTTGTCCAATAATGTTAGATAATTGTGTGATCACAACTAAGAGTGCTACCATCTGTCTGTATTTTCTCCTTTTTTGCAAGTAGTCAAAAGTTGTTGTCATGTATATAGGTGGAAAATTGACCCAGTAGTAGAAAACACTTTTCTTACCAGCATAACCGCACCAACTTGAACATCACTGCGGCTAATTAAAAAAAACAACAGCCATGCAGTTAGTCACAATTTTTTCCCCTCTTGTTGACTAGTTTTAGTTTTAGAACATCCTCTGCGGGAGCTTCAAGTAGTCCATGACGTCTACTTGGTGCCCAGGGTCACCTGGGCACCATGTAGGTGTCCCCTAGCATAGAGATTGACCTCCGGCCTAGATAGGTTTAGATTTATCGTAAAGTCCTTATATCTTCTCCTGTATTACTTAATCGCTGACTCACATATTTAAATTACTACTTCAGACAGTGTTATATCTTGTATTTTCCACTGGTCTCTTTGGGGTATTTTCAATAATGAATCATAATAACAGAATCATTGGATTTTGTCAACTTTAACTGAAACATTTGGGAACCAAAGCCAGAGCTCTAATAGAGTTATCATTACAATCCCAATGTTCTCATAACATAATCTAGAAATACCCCCATCTGCTGCTGTGCCAGTTTTTATGGTGACCATGAATAGCGGGGTGCGAGGCTTTGTCCCGTTTTATGCAAATGTGTTTATATTTGAGAAAATAGTTGTCGTTGAACGTAAGCCATAATGCCCTGGAGCTGTGAGGCATTAAGCTTCTGTACAGTATTGCTGCTACTCTTTGTCGTCATGAAAACACACACAGATGCAGAGAGAGAGCCATCATTACTAGAGCGAGCATTTCAGAATCCCCCGACACACTGATCACTCTCCCAGACTTGCACAAAATTGGCATCTCTTTTCTTGCTAGCCTGCACCGACTGGCCCTTGGCTTTGGCAGCAGTTTACCAGAGACTATGATCACTACACATCTCATCAAATGAGATTAGACTAGCTCTGTAAATAATAGACTGAAAGCAATGTCACCACATGTCCTGGAGAGAGTTACAAGTGAGTTTGTGTTCTGCCAGCTCAGTTTTGCACACTGCATGTATCTTCAGGTACACTTTTTTTTTTTTTTTTTACTTGGGGCAATAGTTCGACCTCAGCGAAGGATCAAAATACCCACTCTGACACGACAGTGGTTTCCAGCCCTCACTTCTTGCTCTCCCTCCACAGGTTTGAGTGGTTCAAAGACCTGGGCCTGAAATGGTACAGTCTGCCGGCTGTTTCCAACATGCTGCTCGATATTGGTGGCCTGGAGTTCACTGGCTGCCCCTTCAGTGGGTGGTACATGGGCACGGAGATCGGTGTGAGGGATTTTTGTGACAGCTCACGCTACAACATTCTAGAGGTAGTGTGTCTTGCCAAAATGCAGTGACAGGCAGGATTGGAAGAAGGGGGAGAGAGAAGGACACACAGATTGGGCTTTGTGCAGAGAGGAGCATGTGCTGTTACCAGATGACCCAATCAGGAGACCATTCTATTTGTTATTGTGCACACTGAGAGAGACAAGCTGATTAACAGGCTCACTGTGCTTTGATGCACATGAATTACAGTATTGATATAAATGACAGTGTTTATTTAGATACTACAACCAAACGGGTGTTTATGCCCGTACAGTACAAGGCTGTACCTTGTGTTGCTCCATGACAGTCATTGTCCTTCACAGCTAATAATTACAATTAATCAATTCGATTATCACAAAATCCTTTATTAGCTGTATTACAGACTTTGTCGGCTTGGCTCATTTTAATGTTTTCACACTTTGTCAAATGACCAAATAATAATAATAATAATAACAATAATAATAATAACAATGATAATAATAATAATAATAATCCATCATCAACTGCTTATCCGGGGCCGGGTCGCGGGGGCAACAGTCTGAGCAGGGACACCCAGACTTCCCTCGACCTCGACACTTCCTCCAGCTCTTCTGGGGGGACCCCAAGGAGTTACCAAGCCAGCCGAGTACTGTAGTCGCTCCCTGACGTAGTCGCTCCAGTGTGTCCTAGGTCTTCCCCTAGGTCTCCTCCCAAAGGGACAGGAGGGAGTCGTCCAGGGGGCATGCGATGTAAATGCCCAAGCCACCTCAGCTGACTCCTCTTGATGTGGAGGAGCAGCGGCTTTACTTCGAGCTCTTCTTGTGTGACAGAGCTCCTCACCCTATCTCTAAGGGAGCACTCTGCCACCCTGCGGAGAAAGCTCATTTCAGCCGCTTGTATCCGGGATCTCGTTCTTTCGGTCATGACCCACAACTCATGACCATAGGTGAGGGCAGGAACGTAGATCGACCGGTATATCGAGAGCTTTGCCTTTCGGCTCAGCTCCTTCTTCACCACAACGGACCAATACAGCGACCGCATTACTGCGGCCGCTGCACCAATCCGCCTGTCAATCTCACGTTCCATCCTACCGTCACTCGTAAACAAGACCTCAAGATACTTAAACTCCTCCACCTGAGGCAGGACTTCCTCCATAGAGGGTGCAAACCACCTTTGTCGAGAACCATGGCTTGGGACTGAGAGGTGCTAATTCTCATCCCAGCGGCTTTACACTCGACTGCAAACCGCCCCAGTGTATGCTGCAGGTCCTGGCTCGAAGAAGCCAACAAGACCACATCATCTGC